AAATCGGAGGAAACATTGCAAATAGATGGCGCACGTGGTTGGCAGATTTTAAAACATTTTTAACAGCCAGTAATATAACAAATAGAACTCGGCAACGGGCTTTACTTCTTTATCAAGCAGGACCCCGAATTCGAGAGATATTTCGACAATTTCCAGACCGGGAGAAGATGATGATTTTGCTAAAGCGGAAATACTTCTTACGGAGTATTTTGAACCACAGAAAAATCGGTTATATGAAGTTTACAAATTTCGACAAGCAAAGCAAGTAGAGTCCGAAACAATCGACCAATTTCATACAAGACTGCGCTCATTATCTAAAAACTGTGAATTTGCTGATGTAGATTTTGAGATAATGGTTCAAATTGTTATTGGTGGACGATCCAGTCGTGTACGAAAACAAGCATTAAGAGATCCTAAATATACCTTAAAAGATCTGTTGCTTGAAGCAAGGCGTGAAGAAACAAGTAAAGTACAAGCGGCGGACATCGAAGAGCATTTGGACAGCCACGTTTTACATACACTAAAAGAACCTACAAATAAAAACTCCCAAGCCGATAAACCACAGAAGATATGCTCTTACTGTGGAGGTAACTACCCCATTTAGACAAACCGTGCCCAGCGAAGAACAAAACATGCGCCAAATGCGAGAAGTTAAATCATTTTGCAAGCCAATGTCGCAGCCGAAACTTGCAGAAAATCAAAACACCCGCTAAACCACGCCAAGACATACGACCGGTAAAGGCTGATGAGGAGAAAGATAGCAGCAGCGACAATAATTCGGAATACTGTTATGCGGTTTGTAACAACAACAAGCCTAAACGTCCTGAAACGTCAATATCGCTCAACGGACTATATGTCAGAATGACAATTGACACTGGCTCAAGCATAAATATAATCGACAAGAAGACTTTCCGGAACTTTCGAAATACTGAGCTTGAACCCACATCCGTGAAAGCATACCCGTTTAACTCAAAAACGCCAGTCAAGATGGAAGGGAAGTTTCGTGTTCTTGCGGAGTCAAAACACAAGTTCACAGTTGCTACTATATATGTGACATCAGACGATGGCGGCTGTTTACTCAGCTCGGAAACAGCGCAAGAACTTGGACTTGAAAGCATAAACTTGAACAAAATTAACACATCGCCAGAAAACTCAAAACTTACAACAAAGGATACAAAGCTCCATCACATTTTGGACAAACATGCACCTGTCTTTGACGGACTTGGGAAGTTAAAAAATAAACAAATTAGACTAGCAATTGATGACTCCGTGCTCCCGGTTGCACAACCACAGCGACGAACACCGTTCCACCTACGCCTGAAAGTGGAAAGTGAAATACACAGATTAGAGAACGATGACATCATAGAGAAAATACCTGAAGGCATGCCCACTGACTGGGTCTCTCCTTTGGTGATTGTTCCCAAGCGTGATGGTAACATTCAATTGTGTGTTGATATGCGGATAGCAAATACGGCTATCAAACGAACCAGACATCCAATACCAGCTGTGGAATCTGTATCCATGGAACTCAATGGAGCACGTATATTTTCAAAGCTTGATCTTGCTCAAGCATACCACCAACTAGAGCTATGTCCAGCATCCCGCAGCATCACAATATTCTCAACTCATTGCGTTCTCTATCGTTATAAGCGATTAAACTATGGAACTAATGCCGCAGCTGAATTATTTCAACATAATCTGCAGGAAACATTGCTAGGAATTAAAGGGGTCAAGAACATTGCTGACGACATAATCGTATTTGGAAGTAATAGAGCAGACCATGACCGTGCACTGGATGAAGTTCTTACCCGATTACAAGATCACAATCTCACACTTAATTGCCAAAAGTGCAAGTTCCTGAAGAAGAACCTTGAGTTTTTTGGGTTATTATTCTCAGAACATGGGGTCTGCCCGGACCCAAAAAAGGTAGAAGCTTTCGTTAAAACTACAATACCCACAACGGTCAGCGAAGTGAGAAGCTTACTGGGGATGGAAAATTACAGCTCTAAGTTTATCCAAAATTATGCTACCATTACAGAACCCCTTCGAAAACTAACACGTAAGTGTGCGCGCTTTGCATGGATGTGGGAACACCAAGCAGATTATGACAAGTTAAAAAATGCACTAACCAACAGTCCAGTTATGAGTCATTTTGATACATCAAAAGAAACGTCGGTATTAGTGGATGCAAGCCCAGTTGGCTTATCAGCCATATTAACACAAAGAGATCCTAAAACAAACGCCGATAACGTCATCTGCTATGCTAGTCGGGCTCTTTCGTCAGTAGAACAACGATATTCGCAAACTGAAAAGGAGGCCCTTGCTATCGTGTGGGGTATCGAGCACTTTCACATCTACCTATTTGGGGCATCGTTCACCCTGATCACTGATCACAAACCATTACAACTTATCTATAATAATCCTCGGTCCCGACCTCCCGCCAGGATTGAGCGATGGTTATTGAGACTTCAACAATACAATTTTCAAGTCATTTACAGACCAGGTGACACGAACCCTGCAGACTTCTTATCCAGACACCCACAATTACAGACTCCCAAACGCAACATCGCCGAAGAATACATCACGTTTGTCACGACAAATGCAGCTCAAAATGCCATATCAATTGAAGTCATCAAAGAACATACGACCAAAGACATAAGTCTTCAGGCGGTAAGAACAGCGGTCGGGTCGGGTGATTGGAGCAATCAGTCTGTGAAACCATTTCTTAACATCAAAGATGAAATATCTGTGGACAACACGAATGGCATACTCCTACGAGGAACGCGGATTATCATTCCAACAACCCTAAAAACAAGCGTTGTGAAGCTGGCCCACGAAGGCCACCAAGGAATAGCCAAAACTAAAGCTTTGTTACGCCAATACGCCTGGTTCCCTAATATGAACAAGGCCGTCAAGGATGAAATTGAAGCCGGTCTACCATGTCAAGTAAATGGATCAACCAGCCCACCAGAACCATTAGCAAGTCCAGAAATGCCAGAGGGCCCTTGGCAAACCATCCATGCTGACTTCTATGGTCCGCTCCCTACTGGACAATATATCATCGTGCTGATCGATAAGTATTCGCGATACCCAGAAGCCGAAATAATCTCAAGTACCTCCGCCAAAGCACTGATCCCTAAAATAGATGATATTTTTGCACGGCATGGAATCCCATTAAAGTTCAAATCTGACAACGGTCCACCGTTCAACAGTAAGGAATTCTCCAAATATCTACATAAACTTGGGGTGAAGCACGAGACATCAATCCCGGAGTGGCCGCAAGGAAACTCAGAGGCCGAGGCATTCATGAAGCCTTTAGCTAAAGCGATCAAAACAGCCCGTGCGGAACATCGCAATTGGACACAAGAACTTTCAAGATTCTTACTCAGCTATCGCACTACGCCTCATTGTTCAACCAATGTCCCACCAGCTCAACTACTATTTAACCGACCATTGAGAGGTATCCTACCAATGCTAAACCCCAAGGACAAAGTGCTAAATAGACATAAAGAGGCGCAGGCGAATGATTTTGAAGCGAAATCGAAAGGAAGAAAATTGGCAAACAAAAGAAGAAGAACTAAAGAATCAGATATCAGGGTGGGAGACAAAGTCCTCTTAAAACAAAGGAAGAAAGATAAATTCACAACAAAATTTGAGCAAACACCATACACAGTGATTTATCGTAGAGGAGCTAAAGTAGTCGCTGAGAACCATAACCATCAAATAACCAGAAACACATCGTTCTTTAAAAAGATAAGAGACAAGTCGAGAGAATCAACTGATGAAGATGAATACAACATCCACGAACAGCCGTACAGACACAACCAATGCGTACCAGAATGTGAAGAACCAGAACACATCATAGAACCAGAACCAGAAGAGCCAGCTCCAAGGAGATCAACCCGACAAAGAAAAATAACAGAACAATATGGGAACTCAATAAACCCTGACTTTGTTATCCGTTAAGTTGAGGAGGGATGTAGTGTTGTAGACACGCCCCTTAAAAGTGACAAGGACATGTATATATATAGGAATGAAGAATGTTGTTGACAGACAGATATTAGAGAGCACAATAGATAGATACTAAAGGAAGAAGATAAATTCTAAACATTACAGATGCTGTAAGGAAATAGGACCAGCATGTAGTTCTTCATCAAATGGTGAATCGCTTGCTTCCCCACTGCAAACTTTAACATGCTCAGCTCCATCACTAGTAGATGGTACTTCCTCATCGAGAGAGCATGTTTCCTTCAGCGATGGCTTATGGAGAGTAAGTCGAATAATCTACAAAACTTATATCGAATTTGCATATGACAGAAGAAAAATTAACATAAACAAGCGTAAACTTACTTGTCTTCGCTTTCGATCGGTTATTTCATCCTGTAATGGTTCAGGAGTCCCAGCCACGTCAATGGTTGGGATAACATCTTTCTTCAACCTTCTTTTGAGCTTGACTTGCACGCTCAAATTAAGGTCATAACAAGAATCTTCAAAATGCGCAGAACACAGACACGAGGTAGAGGAAGCCTCAAAACCCGGTCTATGTTTACGCACAAAATTTACCCATTTTCTATGTCTTTGCGGCTCTGTTTCTTTTTTAGGAAACAGATGCATCGACTTTCCTTCGGTTTTTGAATCATTGGCGCAACTAATTTGATTAGGTCCGCCAGCAACACAGCGTTTTCCTCCGCGTTTCTTATTAAGATTACAAGTAGAATACGCCATGTTGATATATGTGTTCACTTTTCGACGTCACAAGCTTTAGCAAACCGATCAAAAAGTTCGCAAAAAAAATGCTGAAAATCGGGACTTTGAACGTCCGTAAAATCACTTTCACCAATCCAATTTCAATTATAATTGCAGATTCAAAATCACTGAAACAAGGTCTTTCAATTTAGCTAATAAAAAAGGGGGGCTAAAATTCGTAATATAAACACTTTAACAAATTTGCAAATACGACGCTCATTCGGGGAAGGCATGACGTCATGTCATTTTGGTAGTCAGAAACAAGTGACGACCTTACCAATTTGCTTAATGCTTGAATTGTAATATTTTTAAATTTAAATAAGATTTTTGTCTCTTTACTTTGACTAAAATTAGCTTCAAAATGCCAGAACCGACAACAGAAATACCGTGAGTGTAAATCATATTTAAATATTTCTTATTTGTAAGTTTTCGTAGCAAAATGTATTGCTTGCTTGTATCCACGAAAATGGCTGTTAAACGTGTATGAGACGATAAGTCTGATTTTGAGTTTAGCTGGAAAGTATTCACGGTTCCATTCACGAATATAAACTCTTCTTTGAATTAACTATACATTTTAAGGCTAGCTTTTAGTGGAAACATAGAAATTAGATTAAATATAGATGTTACGATTTACAGTTTACAGGATAGTTTTGGGATAACATGAATTGCATAATAGTAATTGCTGATGCCTGATGAAGTCCACTGACAGGCAAGTCAAATGGAAATAAATATTGACGAACAAGAGAGCTAGATGTAGGAAATTTGTTTGTATCTTCAAAAATGATCGCAACATATGTTGCATATCTGATGTGAAATTCAGTGAAGTAGAATGGCCATTACTATCATAAATTGATTTGTACATCATTCTGTGATTGATTTCTCTTGTTTCAGGGATAGCAGCACCAGTTGGGCCGATCAAGTTGAACAAGAAGGTCATTTTTTTCAGTTTTTTTTTTTTTTGGTTTCGAAAATGGTTAATTTAAAATATAGTCATTTACTTAGTCTGAGTTGTCTCAAGATATGTAAACTTTGCAGTTGTGCTGATTTAAAAAGTTCCCTTTTAAATTTCCCTATGATATAGTTTATTAAACATTAATAGACAGTTTGCTAATGTCCAGGGGTGAATCAAGCCGGATTCGACAGGTGGGGTGCAGAGCAGATTTTTCAAGGGGGTGCATTGTTATTCTAGCTAAAGTTGCAAGGCTTCGGACTATTGTGAATTTATAGGCTCATAGATGAGTGCAACCAAATTTATGTTTTTTTTATTAATGAATATGCATTTAGCATTTTATTTCAATTTTAATGTTTCAATGAAAACATGCATCGTAGTTACTCAATTGCAAATAGTTGTGGTATAAAATAAGTAATTGCATTTGAAATTAGAATTTCTACTTTTGCTTTGTCTACAATTACAATCATAACAATTTCATAGCCTCAAATACTGTTATATTAATTATCCAAAGTTTTTAATACCATTTTAAGGTTTTTTTTTGTGTGTTGGGGGGGCTGCACACCACTTGCACCCCTTCTGCCTCTGCTAACTTCTGCTACCGGAATTCTTTGATTTCAATCTGTTGCACCAGTTTGTGGAAGTTTAATCCAAATGCAATTTTTTCATTGATCAAATTTTTTACAGATGAGCCAGATAAGGTATTGCCTCAATCCACAGAGGTTATAAAGAATGGCATAAAAACCATCACTGAATTTAAAAGGAATGAAGATGATAAAATTGTGAAGGTGCATACTTCTAATTACCAGTTATTCTTGTAAAATGTTCATGTACTCTCACAAATCATTTTCTTGGAAAGTTTATTGATGTATAGTTCCAGGAAGAAAAATTATCTCGAGGTTCTGAGTTATTTATCTTATCATTAATATTCTTTGTGATATTTCTCAACTGTGATTAGTTGATTGCAGTGCACTTTATTGTATGATTACACTGTGAGAATGTGTAATTGTACTGTTGAAAAGCTGTAATTGCAATGTATAGCAGTGCGTAATTTACTGTAAAGTGCGTAATTTACTGTAAATACTGTATCCTAATTTGCTGAAAAGCAGTGAAAGCAAGACAAACTTTTTTTCATCTAATAAGAAAACATGGCAATCGATGTAACTATATAAAACTAGCATTTGAATGGAGGAATTGCAATTGTTTGAAAATCAAGAATTACAAAAGATTGTAAAAAATAAAAGCATAAGAGAAAGTACTATTTTTTGCAGTCAGGCCACGTAACAAGGCTTTTCTGAAGCTGTAACAGAGTTAGACGGTGCCGTCAAGAAATATCTCAAAGTATATTGTTATTAAGTAATATGTAGTGTTGTTTCTCAGGCAACTACCCCTGAACATGCACTTGTGATTTTTTTAAAGACCGGAAATCTATACTAATACCTATGCAACTTACTATTCAAATAAAGTAAATGCAACTTACTATTCAAATATTAATAAAAAATCTACTTTACATTAAAAATAAAGGTATTGAATGTTTATGATTACCTGGCCAGCTGTTATGAAGCTTGTGCATTCAAACATTGCAATTGTCTAGCCACTGTCTTCATCACACCTCAGTTGAACCGAATTAGATCAATATCCATGCTCAAAATCACTTGTGTCACCTGAAAACTGTATTTTTTTAATTTAAAAGTTTATTTGTTTCCATGAAATGTAAAAGGATGAAGGTTGATTCCAATTTGCGTGAATTATTTGAAATTTGATTGCGTTGTCTTTTGCGAATGACTTGTGGTCGGATACATTTTTCGAAATAAAAAAGAGATTTCCTATTGAAATACTTCCGCGCCTATACGTGGCTAATGAACATAATGCAAGCATAAAAATTTCATTTCATACCAAAGAAATGATCTGATTACTCCATGTGTGGCACACCATGTTTTATGTACATTCTTATTTGAAATTAACAGGTTGTCAGGACGTATAGATTGGAAACTCTAAAAGTTCACAAAGCCATTGCGAAGAGGAAGGTATTTTCAGATTGCAAACTTTACAGCAGTCATGGGCGAAACTAGAATGGTATTTGTTGAATGTTCATATGTTCTGCTTTGCCAGACTGTTTTATTTTGTAAGCGGTTTTTATTTTAAAAGTACAACAACCATACCAACGCCAATTAATATTGGATTGTCATCTTCTGTAAATACATTTAGCTTTGGACGAAATTTGGGGATTCGAAAATGGATAAACCTGGACCAAATCCTGCCACAACTATGGTTGCCGAGGACGTTTTTCTTGTACTCACATCTAACAAAGAGGTAATTGTCGTATAACGTAGACATTTCATGTACCTTACGTGCAAGATAACTGGCTTTCAGCCATAAAAATATGGACGAGTGCCTATATAATATTGCCTTTTATATTATACTAGTGCCTAAGGCAAGCTATTCTCAGACTGCTCTAAGTATATTTTTTAAGTATGGACCGACCTATACGGTAAATAACATACTTTTATTTTTTTATTTATCGGTTCAAAGCGATGTTTGTGATTTCCAGCAATTTGATTACTTGCCTGATCGAGAGCTTTTTACGATATTTACCTAAAGGGCCAAAAGTGATAATTTTTCGCAATGTTTTCGTTTTGCGAAGTGAAATGTACATTTTTAAAATTGATTTAAAAGCGATGCCAATTTTTGAACGTGTAAGCAAAGTGTGTTCAGATGAAAGTTATTAAAACAAGAGTGAATTTTATCATCCAAGCGAAGCAAAGTTTGTAGAAAACAATCCAATTTTGGACTACGTTTACACTATTCCGGATCGGTGTGAAAATGGCGCAATTAAGTAACAGAGCCGGGTTGCGTTTAGCAATACTGTACCGGAGCGGAATAACTTAAAAACGTCACTTTTTCCGTAGTGATACGACCACACTTTTTAAACGTGGTCGAACGAAAACGGAGCGCTACGCATTGTCGTATAAACAGTTAACCGTTATTATTTTGCTGCACTTTAGATACCAGTTCTCTTTATTTCTTACTGTGTTGTGGCGCATGATTCAAAATGGGGATCATTTTATGTTTTCGAAAGCTTTTAATGACTGTTTCCGTTAAATTAATCTTTTATATGACATATTAATGACTTTTTGTCAAGAGATATAAACATCTATTATTATATGGCAAGCGTCACTTCCGGCAAAATGGCGCGCTTTGATTGGCTGACAAACATTTTCGCCGGTCCATTATTTTCCCGTAATCGACCACGGTCCAGAACGCGTAATTTTACAGTCAAATGTAAACAAACTTAGTAAAGCAAACAGCAAAATGCAAGAAAAACGAAACAAAAAACCATTTATGAATGTGAGTCGAAGGAAAAACTCTCGGAAAATAGTTCAACTTTCCGGACGATACAATTTGAAACGATTTAGTTTTTACTGACGAAAACTATAAAAGTGAAATCAACCCGTATAAAACAGCAAGGACGAGAAAGAAAGCAAGCTTCGTTTCAGGTCAAATAATGCCATATAATAAACTTTTTAATAACATCGCTTTCTCGGTCTTTACGGAGAAATATCGGACCTCTGTCTTTTTGTACAAACCTCGCCCTACGGGCTCGGTCTGTACAAAAACACCTCTGCCCGTTATTTCTCCGTAAAGACTTCGCGCTCGTTTAGTAATGTTTTAGTAAAATGCAAAAAAAATGTTTAACGATTAAGCAAAATGTATTCAGATGAAAGTTATCATAGCAAGAGTGCGATTTATTAACCAGACGAAGCGAAGTTTGTAGAAAACCATCCAAACCATCCTTTGTAAACAAATACATCGCGGAAAAAATATCCCATGTGCCCAATGGCAGATATAGTAAAAAGCTGCCCGATGTGGCAGCGAATCGTATTGCTGGAAATCAAAAATTATCACTTCAAAAATATCACTTTGGAATAATAAATAGAAAAATATTTTCTTTTTATTATTATTACGTAGCACATTCGCATCATTTGTCTAATCAACCTTGTGTTATGGAATAACACAAAGCGACGCAACGTGTAAACACAAATCATAAAATTTCATATAGCTATCAGATAAACTCAAGTCTTATTCATCTCACTTAAAAGTAGGTACGCATAATGCATATGTGGGTAGTTGTCCTTAGTTTCAAGTTATACGTTCGATGAAATCTACGAGACGTTTATAGAAAACTTTTTTGAATATATTTAGAGTTATCATAATTAATTTATGTATATACCTCCTAAGGTTAAGGCCTAAAAATCTTTCAAGGAACGTATTATTTTCCAGGTTGCACTCAAATAATTTTCTTGGATGCGCCCAAGAGATGCGATTAAATTTTTCAGTAGAAAACTATTGAATGTTCATTCGTGTAGAAACTTTTCAATTGGGCAATTGCATATTTTCATAGTTTGATTACGTGCACATTTTTGCCGAACAATTCCAATTTTTTTTCGGAATTACCACATTTTAATTTTTACTGTGCAATTACTGATAGAATTCACTTTACTCAATTGAACTTCATCATTGTTTTTAAATGGCAGGAACTCAACCAGCAAGATGACGATCCTTTGAGAAAACTCCAGAATCAGAAAAACATTGTGCAATGTCGTATATGTAAGGGTGACCATTGGACGTTGAAATGTCCTTACAAAGATACGCTGGAGCCTTTGCAGCAGCAGTTGAAAGAAGAGGAAAATGGAGGCAGTATCCTTTTGTCATTTTTATTACTTTGGACGGGTTGATTGCATTTAGCTCGTTTTTCTTGAAAGGCGTCTTGGGGTAAGTAAATCAACTCTTGTAGACGCAATGAGTTGGATTTCTGTTCTCGTATAAATTCTTTGCTTATCTCTTGAAATTTTATGATATAATGTTTTGCATTTGTTTTTTTTTCACTTTACTCATCTCTCATCCACATTCATGATACTGGCATGAACAAAATATGAACATAATGCAAAATCCCATTTTTAAGGTTTCACTTGATAAAATTAATAGTTAAGCACAATAAAAGAACGTCTTGTTCATTTCCCGTAACATGAATTGTTGCTTTGGTTTCGATTTGATTACGTTTGCTTGTTGACGTTAAGTTGAGCTTATAGCTGGCTAAAGGCTGGCATCATAAGTGAGATTATCTCACCCGTAGTGCCATGTATTGCAGTACAAAATGCATCTGGAAGCAATACTGTTTTTAACTTGGCGCAATGCGAATGAGCATTGGCACAAGCAATTTCTACTTAGGGGCTGATTACATGAGCCCGGAAGCAGCCAAGCGTTAAATAATTTTGGCAAATGGAAACGACTCCATACTTATCGTTAGTTAAATCTTCTCAAGCAATTTCACAATATTCTGATTTAATAACTTTTCAAAACATTTAAAATTGAAACAACCAATTTGCCCTAATTTGAGAATTACAACCGGAGTAACGTGTGGTGCTTCGCAAACAAATGTAATTTTTAACCGTGAAGTTTCGGCTCCTTTCAATCCCTTGAAATAACCTGGCCAGCTCGCCTCCATATAATCAGGCCCTTATTTAGTATATTATTTTGGATATCATAATATTGCAGTGAGGTTCTAACGATGGAATGTCTTTCCTTTCTCATTTTCATTTGATTTGTTTGTTTCTCGTCGTGCTTATTTCTAATGTGCTAATCAAATGTTTGTCTTTTGTTGCTTATAATGCGGTTTCTTGAAATTTCCTTAATGATGTAATCAGGTGGCAGTGGTGAAGGCAACAATAAAGCTACGAGCTTCAATCAAACTGGAGGGAAATACGTTGCACCAGGAAGGCGCGAGGGTGCCTCGGGGAGAGGTGAAATGATGAGCACTCGGAACAATAGAGGTGCAATAAACCTTGGGTTATTTTGTATTTTCTTCTTCTGTTAATTCTTCCAGAATCTAAAGCACGAAAGACAAGATTATGTTTTGTTGTGAACCAACTGCTTTTGATTAATTATTGGATCATCACACATCTTACAGCTATGTTTTCAATTGCTTTTTTCGTAGAAGAGACGGCTACCATACGTGTTACAAATTTATCGGAAGACACGAGAGAATCGGATCTTCAAGATCTTTTCCGACCATTTGGACCAATATCGCGAATATATTTGGCCAAAGATAAAATCACTAATCAATCCAAGGTATTCATAGCTGTATTGGCTGTAGCGATGTCCTGAATTGCACACCGTAGATGATCTAGTCAACTCTTGGGGCGTTTAAGCGGTTCTAGGAGGAGGGTGTTAAATAGTTGAGAGGCGTTTTTATTATTTTTATTGCCTTAGTTTGAACAAATAAAAGACCAAATATTTTGTGTCTTCGGCCCAATTAATAACCGACTGTAATCATTATATTATTGTAGTGGGCAATAGGGGGCTCTATTAGAAACCGGCTCTTATTGGAGAGAGGCCTCCAATACAAATTCATGCTCTCCGAGAGGGAGGCGTTTAATTGATAAATTGCGTTTATTTGATAGGAAACGTTTATTGAATCATATACGGTATGCGAATTTAAAAAGAAAGCAAACCATTTATCCAGCTTTGCAATGTAGTGCTATTACAGATAAACTGCTTTTATCTCATAGGCTCAACATCGCTCAACACGTCGAGAGCGTTTTCACACATCGCTAAACATCACACAACAAGAGCAAGACGATGTTGAGTGCAAGTTGAGCGATGTTGAGCGCGTTTGCACGTAGCTTTAGAGCCCAACAGAATGTTTGCAAAAAAGCCATAAGCAGTTGGATTTTATACTGTTAGGCGAAATGATCCACGAAAGCCTTCTCTCTAAACTAAAGCCATCACTTGACGTTCAGGGCAGCTCCATTCGTCTAAATCTTTTTTTGGTTAACCCCCTACACCCCAACCCCCACTCCCTTTAAGAATACCCACCATCGCATTTGCGTATCCACATTTTATTATCTATTGCATTGAAACGCAAATGTAATCATTTCGAAAGTTGTCAAATGACAAATCCATGTAGCAAAAATTTTCTGACAAATCCATTAAGCAAAAATCTTATTTTTCATAGGGATTTGCTTTCATTAACTTCATTCGGCGTGATGATGCAGCCCAAGCCATTAAATGTGTTTCAGGTCTTGGTTATGATCACCTTATTTTAAACGTAGAATGGGCTAGGTAAGAACTCCGTCTGTACTGTTAAATTCACAACCATACAGGGTTTTCGTCCATTTTCTTTCTCTGGGCTTTGGTCTCAGAGCGCAATCCAACTATTTCCAAATTTTAACATCGAGAGGTTACATTAAATCTAATTGTGCTTCGGTGATTGCCTTGTCCACCATTGTTCTTGCTCCATCAAATCACAGAATAATGATTTTACAGAAGGGTCACTCAGGTGTACAACGTGTCCTCATGTCGGCCATTATTCCAGCCAGATGATTAAGATTTCTCACTTGTTTCCAACCATGAAAATTACATGACGTCAATACTTAATAATGAATTCAAGTATATTTTGACTTAAGAAATGACTTCGGATCATTTTAAAGGCTTGGAAAATGTCAAAAACCCTAATCATCTGGCTGGAATATTGGCGGCCACCATGCGCGGCACGACATGCGCAAGGACAAAAGCATCAAAGGTTCCGACACGAGTGACTCTTGTGTATATTCTTATTCTGTGACCAAATGCTATTATTTACCGCCTCAGGACGTATTAGCTGCTTTATTGATCACAAAAATCTGAAATTTGTTTGTTGGTGAAAGTTTAGCGTACATTGTGATACGTTTATGTTTTCATAACTTATGACGGGAGGAAATATTATAAAAGCAACTAGGCGAAATTCTGTGACGTTAAAAATGTTTCGTTGTGATAATTTGCATACGTTTATTTTTGTTCCATGTGTTTGTGTCTCGTTCGTAGCTGATACTAGTTGTTAACGTTCGCGTTTACTATTTTCATGCTTTGACTATTTATATTTTCTTCTTGCAGGCCATCAAATAACTAGTTGAACGTCTCCAGTATGGTTATAACGATGAAACAATTTGAATGCAATTAAAACGTATAGCATGTTTAATATTTGTTCATCTTTTATCTATGTTGTTTGTTACATGTAGTAATGCATGCGTCAATTCCAAGAGTTACCATCCCCCCCCGGGAATATGGCCGGGCATTTGACTTTTTTCGTTTTAATAGTTCAATTTCCCCGCTGCCGGGGAAAGGCAAGAAGGTAAATACTCAGCCCCCGGGCAAGCTGCCAATGGCAAATGCCCCGCTCCGGGACCAAATAATTTTAAATTACGAAAATTAGGAACACTTTTTAATACTTTATTAAACAAGATATATGAGAGATCCTATAAAATATAAATGTAGTAAAAGAAATTCGTTCCTGAGTTCCTTTCCCTTGCTCCGCTTTTCTCTTGTTGCTTTTGCTTTTCCAGCACCTCTTTTCCTGTTCACAGAAATTTCCGTCAAGTGCTGAAGCCACAATTTAACATCCTTGGTTGACAGCAAACATTTCTTGGCAAGCATGCTTATGTCAGTATCCTCTACACATCCACCACTGTGATTCTTGTGAAAGTCTGCCAGTATTTCAGACGGCGGCGGGCTCCTTATAGCTTTGCCAACTGCATATAAATTTAGAAGCTCTGACACATCGGTGACATAATGCCCATAGCAAACTCCTGTGCATGTTTCGCAATCCTCCACTCCCCAAGGTCTCTTTACATTAGGAACTGGGTAAGGAAAAAAAGTACACGATGGTCCGTCTGGATACCAGGAGATGGGAATCGTTACTTAATGTCGCAATTAATAGAAATCAATAGTTGCGACACTCGTACTCAAATGGTATCAAATCCCCGGGGGTATTATTGCCGGAGTAAATACCCGGCTCCCGAGCATCTCTTTTACGAGCAAATTCCCGACCCTGAGAAATCTCCAGGGAAATCTATCCAGGGATCTCTTTGGATCATGAAACATCGATACATCGATCTAATCATCATAAAAATGCATGGAATTCCTCTTAAAGGAAATTGTATGTTAACATGCTTCCCATTATTTGCGCCACGCAATTTAAAAAGTTTCACCGTACTTAAAGAACCACAAGCCACAAGCCAGCTCAATCGAATCATTAACTGTTCAGCAAAAATTCAAATTGATTTTTTAGCACATGCAGCGGTCTAACCATAGTTTTAGACATGGTAGAGGCCCTTAAGGTAAAACGTCTTGCAACAGTTATAAAAGCATCACCAGTGATCAAATACCTAGTGTTTCTGTTTCCTTTTTGCTTTCCCTGATGGTTACTTGTCGGGCTTTCCAGCGTGTGATTTTTGGTGCAAGTAAGTTAAGCAGCTCTTCAATTATGCATGGATCGTTCAACACACTTGAAAAAATCTCATAGACGAACAACATTGCCTCAAGTGCTTTAGTGTCATGTTCCCCTTTTAAACCAGGGTGTTGTTGAGGTAAAAACCACTTGCGGCCGAAGAAAGCGAAATACATGTTTTCATCACTGATGTGCATATTATACTGGATAACGCATCCTTGTTAAAAATTGAAGCCGGAAGTTAGATTATTTGCTACTGGCTTCATGGGAGGTATCGGTCCCACTTTACTATACTTTTGTATTAGAAAATCACAGTTTTCGCGTTTTCATTCCTTTTACAAACTTCTGATTACGGCAAAATTTTCATGAGATATAGAGGAAAACCGGAAGAGAGTTTTAACTCTAAAGGTTAACCCTGGCTTTGTAACGACTGAAAAATAGATGGCAATTTGTATTGAAATTTGAAAGTTGAAGTTGACGAAGACAATTTCAGTTGTGCGAGGCATTTTTAGAAGATGAATACTTAAATTACAACAAAGTACCATCAAAGCTATTCATATCTTTAATATATTCATCGATATTGAAGTTGTTCACAAAAGAACTAGTTTATAACTTTGCTTCGCTTAATGCAACACAGAGAGGTACTTTCGCATATTCTTACTATTGTTCATAAACATGTCTTTCTGATTATTTGTCTATGTCGATTTATTTTGTTTCTTTGCGTTATTTGAAATTATGATTTTTGCGATGTGAATTACAACCCTAAACAAAGTATAGTTAAATGTGTAAATTTGTAGTAATCCTTGATAAACGTCATTGCAGATGACATTTTGTTGGCAGTATTAGGATTCTGTAATATTTTCAAATTTTTTAAGAAGCAGCAGCATCATATAATCTCCAGTTTGTTTCAAAACAATGCAGGTCTACCTTGTACCATCTCAATTTTTTTGCATTATAAAGCCGAGAAGACAAACTCTTTAGGATTAAATATGTTTGCCGGTCGTTCTGTCCCTGTCAAAAAAATTTAGCTCGAATCAAAAGTTTGTAGAACGAATAAAAACGAAAAAACTGTGATATTGTAATACAAAAGTATAGTAAAATGAGACCGATACGGCGATACCCCCACCAAGGTCATCAGCAAATGAGCCAACTTCCGGCTTATTTATATCAGTGGTCAACGTCTTTCGGTACATTTTTTTCGGGAGAGATTTTTACGGTTTGAGGGGAGCGCACAATCATCACAAAGTAGAATCTTTCAGAACGTCCTTTTCGAACTCGAATATATGTACCACAAACAACGTAATTTTAATACAATGAATACTAAATTCGCCTGAGTGATTGCCAATATCAATATTATCTCGCTTGGCGAATAACACGACACTTGATTCGCCATTGCTGTATTTAGCCAGTTTGATACTTGTTTATCCGCTCTCGCCACCGTGCTCGGGTGATGAAAATATGATATTGGTGTGGATTTAACAAAAACGTCCAGAATAACAAAGAATTTAAATGCATGTTGCGGAGTGTATTTAACTGTAGCGGGTCGCGGGTAAAATGCGTGTTTACAACTTGAAGTTCATGTACGGACTTTTCAACGGTAATGTCCGCAAACCTTGCAGCCTCTAATTATAGAATTTACATACTGGGTACGTTGTATATCATAAGTATAACTTACACTTTCCGACAATTTGAAAGTTGCTTTTCCCTTAAATGCTAGATTAGAGCAATAAAGTACTTTAAAGTTTAAATCCAACTCATGTGTGATAGGTATAACGAACACAAATCTTAATTATCCAAAGCACCGGTGACATATTTTAATGTCTTTTTATACTTATGATATACCCAATGTACCCAGTATGTAAATTCTATAATTAGAGGCTGCAAGGTTTGCGGACATTAACGTTGAAAAGTCCGTACATCTACTTCAAGTTGTAAACACATTTCGTTTAGGATCATAATTCATAAGCTATGGATAGATTATATAAGTAAAACTGCGGCTTCCATTTTTCCTTGCGCACGATTGGCAAGTTTATTTTACTTAGCAATAATATGTTTTATATCCATTACAGGAGTTGTATTCAAATAAATCTTGAATTAATGGTTGGTATTTGTAATGACTGTACTATACTTAGAGCCAGGGTCTGTAAGATACACGTTCTCTGTTCTCAATAGAAATACCTGACAGGTGTTGCGTAAAATCCTGATTTATAGGCAATGTTTGTTTGATCTATGTATCCAAATATAATATTAATATACATAAATTATACACTAATCACCATGAAAAACATAGTTAGCTTTTTATTAATACCAAGCATCACTAACCATTCAAGATTTACTTGGAACAACTCTTTTAATGGTGATGAAGCTCTTAGTTGCTCGAGAAAAGCAAATTTATAATCGTGTGAAAGTGCAAGTTATACATATAAATAAACCATATATCATAATTTATGAACTGGGTTTTACAATTTCAATTGTAAGAGAATTTAACGACCCTCAAAACTAATAATACTTCCTCTTTTATTAACAACGCATCGTTTTGTATATTTCAATAAGTATAACAAACACAAATCTTAAATGTCCAAAGCATCGGTGATATATTTTAATATTGACAGCAGAGAACGTTGATTCATAGAACACATTCAAATGGGCATACATAGAAATAAAGAATTCCTGACAATTTTACATCAAGTTCTTTTAAATTTTCCATGCAAAAGTGTTTTTTATACCCGCGACTTTACTTGCATTATTTTACCCATGACACGACACTTTTTACTCGCGACCCGCGACAGTTACACTCATGCATAGAAGGGTTACTTGCGTCGGTAATCTTTGATGTAAGTGTGTCGCGCAGTTTGTTTGCGCATACCGGAAATTTAACGGCTGCCATTACTCTAGCCAGTAAAGTGTAGAATGTTCACTACGAAGGTATACGAAGTCGGAGTTGTAAAGTGTGTTAAAATGTAGAATTTGAGACTTATTTGCTTTGTTTTTTAATTTTGATTATGTAAGCTATTCGCAAAACAATGGCGTAACAAATGCGCATTCTTACAAACAGTTTTATAGCATTTTGGGATTCTACGGCCAACGGCCTATTGGTTTTAGTAGTATACGGACTTAATGGTGTCTAAAATGTTTCCACCAACACCTTCGCTCTTTGTGTGGACTGGCAATTTCTCTTTAAATACTTCTTTAAGTTTTATTATGTACTGCAGACAAGTAGAAGATTTGGAATGTCTGATTTGCTTTCTTCAAACGCTTTGAAGTGTCCAAATAACAGCCTATTATCATCCAGTTCAGTCCTATGAAAGAGCATTAGTGCATTTAAGAGTATTACGGAGTTTGAAACACTTCATAAGATCTAAGGAAACCTGACACATATCCATTGGCATTGTCTATCATGATGCTAGCTCCAACTGTTTAGCTCCTGGTAGTCAGTAAGGACCAATTGCTAAGGCATGCGGTTGTAGAGAAAGAGTGACTTTGACTGTCCACAAATAGTCATCATAAAAGGATGTTGAAATTTTATAACAAATTTTCAATCTAAAAAATAACCATATGAAATTGTAAGAAAAATCATATATTATAATACGTTTATCACATGTAAATGTGAATTTTTTTATTTCTTCCTTTAAAAATACATTTTTTTGGTTAACACGTAATATTTTTTCCTTATAATTTACAAATTCATTTATCGAATCAAAAGTTATTTTCTTTTTCCCATCACCTTTTAAAAAGAATCCTTTCGCATGCAC